TATCTATCTATCTATCTATCTATGTATATATCTATCTATGTATGTATGTATGTATCTATCTATCTATCTATCCATCTAATCTATCTATCTATCTATCTATCTATCTATCTATCTATCTATCTATCTATCTATCTATCTATCCATCCATCCATCCATCCATCCATCTATCTATCTATACATACATATAGTAACTTTTTTCATTTTAACATTTTAACTCATGATCTACCAACACTGTCTTTGGGACCAGATCACAGTGTACTTATTGGGCACTGGTCTAGGCTCTACTGGTCTAGGCTGTACTCCAGGGTTTACAGATGTCTGGTGGGATTGGCTCTAGCACCACCCTGGGGCCATGGAAAATAATGAAGGGGTAGAAGATGGATGAAAATAATATTACAGTTTCTCATCCCTGGAGGAATATGTTGCTTGAACATTACAGTATGTTACCCCCAATACCCCTCAACTCCCACATACGGAGCCACTATACCACACCCTTCTATCTATGTATGTATGTATGTATGTATGTATCTATCTATCTATCTATATATCTATCTCTCTATCTATCTATCTATCTATCTATCTCTCTCTCTCTCTCTCTTTCTCTCTCTCTATCTATCTATCTATATATCTATCTCTCTATCTATCTATCTATGTATCTATCTATCTATCTATCTATCTATGTATCTATCTATCTATCTATCTATCTATCTAGCTATCTATCTATCTATCTATCTATCTAGCTATCTATCTATCTATCTATCTATCTAGCTATCTATCTATCTATCTATCTATCTAGCTATCTATCTATCTATCTATCTATCTAGCTATCTATCTATCTATCTATCTATCTATATATCTATCTATCTATCTATCTATGTATCTATCTATCTATCTATCTATCTATCCAACCATCCATCTATCTATACATACATACATATAGTAACTTTTTCATTTTAACATTTTAACTCATGATCTACCAACACTGTCTTTGGGACCAGATCACAGTGTACTTATTGGGCACTGGTCTAGGCTCTACTGGTCTAGGCTGTACTCCAGGGTTTACAGTCTGTGTTTTTCTCATCCCTGGAGGAATATGATGCCTGAACATTACAGTATGTTACCCCCAATACCCCTCACCTCCCACATACGCAGCCACTATACCACACCCTTCGACCATTACTGTCTTGTACTATGAATGAAAATAGAAAAAATAAAAAAACTTCCTGATTTTAAACTCAATGGAAAACAGGGGTGTGGGTAGCGGAGATGGAGGAGGAGAAAGGTTCTGTTTATAAGGAACCTCTGAGCCATTGTTTGAGGTAGAACTCTCCCAAAAATTCCATGTAGGTTTTCCGCACGTACAGTACCTCTATTAGAATACATTAATTAAGAACACAAGCTCAAAAGTTCATGTTTTTCATTAACATCACAAAATGTTTTTAGTGAAGGTGCATGGCTTTAGCTGGGCTTTTTCTAAGCATTCTGCTCAACCATAAATGTAAAAGCACACCACGAAGGGGTTGTTTTGATCTAAAAATAATTGTTGCCGTCTGCCTTCCTGTCAGTTGTAGTGCTCATCGTAAACTATGTGTCAGTTAAATCCAACTTGTTTAAAATGCTAGGCCTGCTGCAATTAATTTTCTCAGTGCCAGGGAAGTGTGCAGTACTCTTGTACTGACACTGAGCCATCGAATCTGGACTTCAAAGTGACATGTCAATCATTCATTCATCACTGACTTTAAGAAGCATCTTGACTGGGCACTTTTACCCAGCTCTTCCTTCTTCTTGCCGCTTTCAATTCTTCAATTGAACCGCCCTACCACCTCAATCACACCTGTTTCCATTCATCAGCCCAGCTTTTACATAACCCTCACCCAGCTGCACCTCAGGGACTGATCTACCTGCAGTAACGTTTAAGAGTTTGTGTTACAGAGGCTCCATTCTAAAGGTCTATGGTTAAAAATGTGAGGAGTAGAGAGACTGTGATTTATGATCTGTCCAAATCTGACCCCATGTACTGAACATACCAGCATACACAGTACATACCAGCATATACAGCACATACCAGCATTCACAGTACATGGCTGCACTTTTTTTTACACAGTGTTTGGAAACTAAAAACAATTGTGGCAATGTAATATGTTTGTTATTTTATTGTTATTTATTGTTATTTATTCATGTGATTAAGAGGTAGGCAGTCTTTACAACTGTATTAATAATGGAATATTTCTATTAGGGATGTCTGATATTGGCCGACCGACACTAGCGGCCCAATATTAGCCATGATTACATATAATTATGTAATATATGTAAGAATCGTGTGGTGCTTTGGCCCAGAGGCAATGTCTCTGTCATTGGTGTGGAACCCCAGGGTTCACCTCCTGGGCAAGATCAAATCCCGTTTAGAGCGGTTTGGACCTTCCAGTGGACTCACCACCCGCAGAAAGGTTAAGGGGGGTTGGTACAGTTGGTGCAGTGTGATTTAGGTGGCGGTTGTGGAGACTGCTGCCCCAGCAACCCGGTAACAGATAAGTGGATGAAAATGGATGGATGGATGGATTTAAGAATCGTTATTGGTTTTCCCTCCAGTAATGAATAACCGATACCGCAATGCCTGGGTTTCACCAAATGATCTGTGCTCTAAAAATAGTTTAATGCCCAGGCGTCAGACCAGTCAGGTACGTCAGTGCGCTGAAGAACTTTTGTTGAAACACAATTGCAGTAACTCGTTCTGGAAACGCCTTTTCCTCCTCTCGCACTCTTCCTCATACACACCAGCGCTCTAACCATGCCTCTTTAATCCCCCTCTAATACCGTTAACTGTTAACTCTTTCATAACACATAGATACACACAGAACATTATGAACAATTAAACAAGTCTCCAGTTGCTAGATGGCAGCATTGCAGCTCATTTTATTAATCTATTTTAATAATCAAGGGGTTTGCATGGAGAATGCTGGTGCCAGCAACTCTTACAGTGATTTGTACAGATAAATAAATAAATATTACCAGGTGCTCAATACTATATAAAAGCCCGTAGGGGGCAGAAAATAATTAAAAAAACGCTGCTTTGACCCTTTACCTTGGTGAGCAGGCAGAACCAGGTCACCACTGCCCCGCTATATAGTATCAGTGGATATCAGAATCAAAAATTAAGTGTTTGGACAATATCGACATATCGGATATCGACAATAAATTAATATCGGGCATCCCTAATTCCCTTTTTCTGTAAAAGTCTGTTAAAGACTTTGAGTCAACATTTGTTCATCTCGATTAACTGTGTATTGTAAAATATATGACTTGACTGCAAATCATCAATATTTTTTCCTTTTTGTTTGTAACTGTAACTACTTATTCCACTGTTTTACTGTTAAAAACTCTCAATTAAACTTGTATGTGTTGACCTGCAGTAAGAACACGTTTGAAAGACACTAAATCTTACATAAGTCATCAACAGTGTGCATGTTCTTCATGCCCTCTCTCTCTTTCTCTCTCTCTGTCTCTTCCTTATTGCTTCCTAAACACAACTTTAAACAGGATGTTGAAATAGTTTGTTTAAATGTACCCAGAGACTTGACTGGTCCCACCCAATCAAACATGAATAAACATTTCCTCAGTGCAATTACAAATGAACAGACACAGGCACGTGCACACACACGCACGCACACACACTTTTACTGTAGATACAGAGATTATTGTCTTTCGTACCCTCCTGTTTGTGTATCATTTCGACTTACATGTCTGTTCTGGCATTTTTATTTAAATTTCAAATTTTATTCAATTGTCCTGGCCTAAAAAGATTAAAAGCGTGAAACTTTCTTTTGAAAGTTTTATTGACTCGTGCTTGTGTTGTGCTCTCTAACCACACAACCAGAAGCCACAGCACAACACAATGTTCTGATGGTTATCTCGCCTGTCTGTGCGTCTTTTTTTTGTTTTTTTACCCACATGTTACATAAACTTGTATATGGAAAAATGTAATCAAATCCGTCTCTGTTTTACTCATGTATTAACGATACGTGCGCATGCGTTGTGCTACTTACGTCACTTGAGAACGTAAAAAAAAAAGGAAACGGGAAATAAAACAAAGTATTACAAACAAAACCAACAAAATGAATAAATAAATTGATAGTTAATTAAAAAACAAATAGATTTTAGAGTAATTTGTAGCTCGGACTGAAAGGAAAAGCTTACTAAATTAGAGCTAACGATGAAAGAAAGAAAGAAGGATACACAAAGAAAGAAGGAAACAAACAAGGTAGGAAAGGTAGGAAGGTTGAACAGAAGGACGGTTGAACAGAAGGAGGATAAAACAACAGGTTGAACAACCCCACTGTAAATACAATTGTTTGAAGCAGGTCATCGCCAAAGAGAGACTCTATGAAAATAAAGCCTGAAGCCTGAAGGTTCAATATAGATCCTCACTTTACCACTGTTTTAATGAGGCCAGGCAGAAGCTTCTCATTCCCTATTTTTCGAGAGATGGTGGCTAAATTGAGTTACTTTAAATTGGAGAATTGAAGTGTGCGTTAAAGTGTGTTTGCGCACCGCTGCTAAAGCTAGCTGAAATATCAGCAAAGAAACATAGAGATATATGACCAATATGTCAGAGGTCCAAAGTCAGGATGACTGTATACATGTATACATGTTTAGGTATATGTTTCATGCTGCACACATGCTCAACATAAGGGCACACGTAAAGGTGTTGTAACAAAAGGTGACTTTCGTAAAACATGGAGACTTGGAGGTTTTTACATGTGTAGCCAGTTACGTGCACGAACAATCTCCCCTGTCTATAAAGCTATGTTATCACATGCGATGTGAATGTGACCTTATGCAATAGGGAACACTTTCCTGCACAGCTTAAGATTATGACACAGTATCTGCTC